GCGCCGGGCCACTGGGGGCGCTGCGCGCGTGGGCGCGGCGGTCACGCGCGGCGGAGCAGGAAGCGGCGCGGGGCGGGTGGGGCTGCGCCGTCCCGGAGCCCCCGGAGCCCTCAGCGCCGCCGGACATGCGGTGCGTCCTGATCGCCAGCACCGCCGCCGAGCTGCTCTTCTACTGGGCCGATGGCGCCTTCCTCCGCCGGCTGCGCTCGCCCCACGCCGGGCAGGTGGGGCGGGACGGGGTGGTGCGGGTGCGGGGAAGGAGGTGCGGGGGTGCGGGGTGCGCGGTCTCGCGTGGGCGCTGACCGGGAGCGTGTGGCTCAGGGCCCGGCGCTGGAGGACAGTCTCAACACCCTCTTCGCCCCGCTCATCATCTCCTGCACGGCGCTGCTGGAGAAGCTCGCCGACACCTACACTTGCTTCGCCACCGAGGGCGGGCGGCACCTCCACGTCCTGCAGACGGTAGGACCGGCACCGGGGACTGGGGACCCCCGGCCGGCCCCCGCCTGACTCCGCTGCCGGTTGCAGTTCGGGGACTGCCTGTACATCGCAGTGAACGGCGACGGGACGCAGACTGAGGACGACCTGCGCCGGACGCTCTTCGTGCTGCGGCGCTTGGTGGAGGCTCACTGTGGCCTCGTCACGCTCGACTCACACCTCATCCGCAAGGAGTGAGTGGGCACGGCCACCGGCACGGGCTAGCATGCCGGCGTTCTGGGGTGGCTGCCACGCGGTGCCTTCGTGCAGCACCGAGGGGTGGGAGTGGGTGTCTCCAAACTGGGACCCTTGTTTTCAGCAGGACCCCCTACCCACTGGGCTGCAGCTGGGTTTTGGGCTGTCCGTCCCACACAGGGAGGTGACGGCTGCCTCTCACTTCACACTCTGTAACTGGTGCAGGTTGCGGCCAGCTGACTCAGAGCAGCGGGAGCGTGTATGGAGCCTGCTGCGGGGCCTTCTGGAGACCTACAGCCACCTGCGGGAGGAGGACCAGAGCTTTGCAGTGGAGGTACCAATGCCTCCGAAAGTCCCTCACTTATGGGGCATTCCAGGGGTGTGAGGCTGCATGGAGTCTCAGGGTGTGAGGAAAGGTTCTAGACTGGGGACTTTGGGGCAACTCCCTGGAGCAGTGGAAGCTCAGCTTGCCCCTGGGGCTGCGAGACTGGGTCTGGGGGAACTCAGCAGCCTTCTTCCCGCCTGCACCCCAGGCCGTGGAGCGGCTGATCCACCCTCAGCTGTGTGAGCAGTGCATTGAGTTCCTGGAACGGCAAGTGGTGCAGTACATCAACACCAGTCCTGAGCGTGGTGGGGATGAGGTGGGCCATGCCTTCCTTCTGGTGCACACCAAGCTGCTGGCCTTCTACTCCAGGTATGCCCAGCCCCACCGCCCTCCCCAAAGCAACCACTTGTCCTGCCGGCTGACCCTTCCCTTCTCTTGCAGCCGCAATGCCAGCTCCATCCGCCCGGCCGACCTGCTTGTCCTCATCCTCCTGGTGCAGGACCTGTACCCCAGCCAAAGTGCCGAGGAGGAGCTCAGCCCTCAGGTGGTCTAGAGAAGGATTGGAGTCCAGAGCAGGTCAGGGTGCTCCTGTAGGGGGATGCCTTGGCAGCCAGGGCTTAACTTTTTTCCCTCTTTTTGGAAGTCCATGGCAGGGGACATTCTCTCCGAGGGACCCAAGAGAAGTGAGAGCATCCCTGTGAGTGGTCCTGGCTCCCATGGAGCTGCAGAGAAGGACTCAGATGACCAGGTGAGGCCATGGGATCAGGAGCTGTAGGGTGGGATGCTGGAAGGGCTGCCTGCATTGCTCCCATTGCTGATACATCCGTTCCCACTAGCAGGACACGGATGATCAATCTGTGCCCGAGGTCTACTACACACCTGAGCCCTCCCCAGGCAGACACAGCACAGGTGAGTGCCCAGCTAGGCAGCAGCCCTGCCCCATGCCCCCCTGGGGCTGTGAAGGGGCCTGATGGGAAGGGTGACCTGCTGTTGTGTTTCCTGCAGCCAGTGAGAGCTGGTCAGAGGGCGCTGAGATGCTGAGCATTGGGGAGGCAGATGCTGCAGATGTCCAGGTGAGCACAGAGTCCTGCAGTGCCTCCCGGCTCCACACCTCGTCAGCCTGTCCTGGTGCTCTTTATGCTCTTTGCGGTCTCTGGTCCTCGGCACTCGTCTCTTGCTGTGCTGCAGCTGTGGGTGCCCTGCGTCCCCCATGTTGTGCCTAACTGTGACAGCTCTGACCGCCCTCTCTGGGGCATTGCTTACAGTCTGCCTGTCCAGAGCTGTCAGCAGAGAGGAATCAGGGCTGCCTCAGAGCAGTCCAGTGTCTCCCTCTGCTGCCTCTGGGCTTTCTGGGCTGCTTCTGTGATGGATCCCACAGCACTTCACACACTGCAAGTAAGCATTGGCCTCACTTTAAGGCATTTGCAACATTTGTCTTTGCAACAGGCTTCCATTCTGTCTGGTGCTCTTTCGGGGTTCCTGGGCACTTCTGTTGCTGCTGATCTTCTGTTGCATGGCCCCTTCAGCTCCTTCAGTTCTGTCATGCCTGGCTGCAGCTTTCAGGGCATTGCCGTGTCCCTGCAGAGCATCCCGGGTTGGTGCAGGCTGCCTCGTCCACAAGGGGGGCTGAGCATCTCCCCTTTCTTCCCAGATGGCAGAGGACTTGCTCCAGACCTTGGGGCCTCTGGTCCCTGAAGCTTCAAACCCCAGAAGGATCTTCCTGGATGCCAGCCTGCGGGAAGGTTACTGCCCCTTGCTGCCACACACCATGCACTGCCTGCCACTCTGGCCAGGCATCTCCCTCGTGCTACTGACGAAGGTGAGCTGCCTCTGAGGTGAGGGAGGCGATGTTGGACTGCGTCCTGCCTGACCCACATCTCCCTTCCCTGGCAGGGCCCCATGACCCAAGTGGCCGTCACCTTATACCAGTTGCTGGATGGGTTCTTGGTGCTGGAGAAGAAGCTGGAAGAGGGGCCAGAGGTGGGAGTCGCACGCTCCTACCCATTCCTGGCCGAGCTGCGGCAGCGCATGGACAAGTTTGTGAAGAAGCTGAGTGGACAGGACATCCAGGTGGGAGTGGAAACATGAGGACTGTGTCCTGCTGTCCCCACAGTCTGACACAGTCCTGTCTCTTTAGTTGCAGAACACCTGGTTGGACTTCAAGAACAAGATATTTTCCCGGAGTGAGCCTGGGAGCTCCTTGGAGTGAGTAGGGGGTGGCCAGGGAAAGTCTCCAAAGCAGGCAAGCACCTTTCCCAGGCTGGGGCCAGCACAGCTGTCCCTGCAGTGCTGGGGACCCGGTGTCCAAACTCTGTGTCTCCTGGCTCAGGCTGCTGCAGGCAGTGGGCAGCGTGAAGCGGCAGCTCTGCTCTGTGTACCGCCAGCTCTTCCTGACCTCTGCTGGCCACAGCCTGTCTCAGGGGCTGCGGGACCATGCTCAGAAGCTGATGAGGTGAGTGCATGGGGGTGGCCAGCATCACCAAGGGGCTACTCCACACCCAGCTGTGCTGGGACTTGGGGGTCCTGGACTCTCACCGTGCCTCTTCTCGGCAGGGAGAAGCTGCTGGACTGGCGGGACTTCCTTCTGGTGAAGAGCAGGCGCAATATCACCATGGTGTCATACCCATGTCTGCAGCAGGGACCACAGACCAGGGAGGGGGTGTACCCAAGGGGGTAGCAGATGTGGGAGAGGGACCCTGTCCCCCAGCACCAGGGTCAAGGGGAGGAGTGTTTTGGGTGAAGGCAGTTTCCTTGAGTCTCAGAGGCTGTCCTGGAAGGGCACCAAAGTTGTTGAACACCCTTAACCCACTCTCACATACCTAGAGGACTTTCCTGGCCTGGTGCACTTCATCTATGTGGACCGCACGGCTGGGCAGATGATGGCACCATCGCTCAGCATGACAGAGAAGTCCAGCTCAGAGCTGGGCAAGGGTCCCCTGGCCAACTTCATCAAGAGAAAGGTACTGCTCATGGGGCTAGGGGTGCCACGGGAACCACCAGAGGGGATGGTAATTGGAGGATTTTCTGCTCAGGCTTCAGGTGTCCCATGTCCCCCAGGTCTGGTCCTTGATCACATTGGCCCGGCGATACCTTCAGAAGGGCTACACGACGCTCATGCTGCAGGATGGCGACTACTGCTGCTCCTACTTCCTCTGGTTTGAGAATGAGCTGGTATGTGGAGCCAGGAAGGGGCTGAGCCCCTCTACCCCAGCGCCTTCTGGGGCAGGCAGAGGGGCTGTAGGCACAGCCAGCTCTGGCTCCTCGGCAGTCCCATCCCTCCTTCTGCCCTCTGCTGTCATTTCTCCCCAGGGCTACAAGCTGGAGGTGATAGAGGTACCAGTTCTGTCTGATGATTCTGCTCCCATTGGGATGCTGGCAGGGGACTACTACAGGTGAGCAGTCAGCAGCCCTGTGGTTTGGCACCAGGGCTCAAAGCTTAGCTGGTGTGGGGGTCTCTGTGAGTGACGTTGTCCTCACCAACATGTCACTGCAGGGTGATACTAGTGCTTTAGTGTCACTGGGGTTGCACCAGCCCACCTCCCCAGCCTGGTGCCGTGGTTCTTCTGTGTCTTTGCAAAGGACTTTCTAAAGGGAAGATGTCTAGAAAGGGGGTGGCTGTGTGCACTCTACCTGCCAAGGCCTCTGTCTTCTTCTCCCCAGGAAGTTGCTGCGTTATTATAGCAAGAACCACCAGGCAGAGGTAGTGAAGTGCTACGAGCTGCTGACCGTGCACCTGGGCATCATCCCCTCCGAGCTTGTGGTCCAGCAGGCCTGCGACTTGGCCCGGCGCCTCTGGGAGCCATCCCGCATCCCTCTGCTCTGAGCTGCCTCCAGCCACCTTGGGGATTAAAGCGGGTGTGGGTGTTCCGGGAGCCTGGCCTTCTTTCTGTGTCTGAGCTGTGCGCTGTGTCTGCAGGCAGTGACAGGCAGCCTTCCCATCCTTCAGCCTGGCAGGGCTGGCACTACCCCCTTCCCTGCTCTCCATGGGTTTTCACTGCCAGCCAGCAGCCTCTAGGGACAGGCAGAGAGTGGGGCTGAGAAGATGTTGGCACATCACCATCTTGCTGAAAAGGGCTTTTCCAGGGCAGGATTTGTAGTGTTAGCTTAGCATTGGTGCTTGGCTTTGGCTGGAGTTCAAAATAATGTAGCCAAACGTACAGGGAGGAATGGTCCTGCCCTCCTTCCCCCTCGCCCCCAAATGTGGGGTGTGGGGCCCTTAGAGGTTAGGCAGGCTCAGGGGAGGTGCATTCTGTCCTGTACCCCCTTCCCTGCACCCACACTCCCAGGCACCGATTAGCCCCAGCTCTGAGCTCCTCTGGGAACAGCAAGTAAATCTGAGGGAGCTTATGTGTGTCCCAGGCACGTCTGGGCTCAGTGCATGTCCAAACCTCGGGCACAGTCAGGAATGAGGCCAGCCACAAGGGCCTCAGGCAGCCACTGCCCCTTGTTCCCATGCTGCTCCCTGGAATTGGGGATGGCTCTTCAGAGAGCACTGGGCCGTGACAGGTCCTTTGCCCCATCCTGCTGGGCAGGAGTTTGCCTTGCTGAGCAGTAGTACTGGATTCAAAGCCAAGCTCTTCCCTAAGCTGCCCCTTGTTCTGCTGTCCCCACCTGCTTGGGGCTTGCCTGCTCAAGGTGGGGCAAACTCACTCTGACCTGCAGTGCTTGGCCCATCACCCCAGCCACGTGCCTCTGGATCATCCCTGGAACAGAACAGGGGCTGGGGGAGGGGAGGTTCTCAGGCCCCCGCCTGCCTGCCCAGCACCTTCCTGGAGTATAGTTTGGGGAGTACCCGGCACCCTGTTGAGCCCCAGACAGGATCTGACCCTGTTGCCTTCTCAGCACTGGGTCTGGTCTCCAGCCCTGCTGCAAGCCCCCAGCAAAACTGTGCCAGGGGCAGTGCCAGCAGCAGGGGCAGTGCTCGGCCTGTGCCCCTGTCCTGCCTAGCGTCCCCGCAAGCGCCGGCACACAGCGGCTGGCCCTGCCTCAAAGCATTCCCTGCTCGGGCCCCCCCATCTCCTCCCCGTGCCCGGAAGCCCTGGGAAAAGTTCCGCCAGGAAAGCAAAGTCCAGGCTGTGAGACTCAGGGCAGCCATGGCCAGGCACTGTGGGGCGATGGCAACCAGAATCCAGGCAAGACTGAGCAAGGTCTGCCCTCCCCGCTTGCTGCAGGACTGGCATCCGTCCCTGGGGCTGTCAGGAGCACGTTTGGCCCACACCGGGGCTGCAGAGAGGCTGCAGCGGGAGTACGACGCGGTGGTGATCGGGGCAGGTAACGGAGCGAGGGAGCAAGCGTCGAGCTGGGGGGAGCAAGCGGGGTCTCCCACTTTCCCTTCCCCCGCAGCAGGTGGCAGGGGAGAGGCCAGGTGGGGACCACAGCAGTGCTGGACACTTTGCAAACCCTCAGAATATTTCTCATGCCAGGGACAATGCAGGGGTCTGGCACAGCGGGGCACACATTGCAGCCCCCCAGCATGCAGGGCACAAATAGAGCATCTGCCTTAAGCACTTCTGTCCTCCTCCCCTGCACCTTTAGGGCCAGGGCTGCAGGGCAGTGGAGGATGTCCCTTGTCACACGTATCCCTGTGTCCAGAGCCCATAATTTGGGTGGCTGTGGCTCCCCCATGCCTCAGGCATGGTAGAGTGCCCTGTCCTGTGGGACTGTGCCAACACTGGACTCTGCTCACCTCCCTCTCTCCTTGCAGGGCACAACGGGCTGGTGGCAGTAAGTACCAAGAATGGCATGCTGCCTCTCCTCGGGGAACAGCCAGGGACTGGGAGGGGTCTACACAGTGGTCAAGGGAGGGCTCTGGTGGCAGTGCTCACGGGGATGGGGGCTCCCACAGGGCCCTCCCTGGTGAGGGGGAGCACCATGCTGCCAAGGACACATCCCAGCTGGAGGGATGGGCAGTGTGATGCCATGCTCCCCACAGGCTGCCTACCTGCAGCAGGCAGGGGTGCGCACAGCTGTGCTGGAGAAGCGCCACGTGCTGGGCGGTGCGGCTGTCACGGAGGAGATCGTGCCAGGTACCCCTGCATGCCCCTTGTCACCCTGGCCCTGGCCAGGCCTGGGTGTGGCCACCCTCCTCTACCCCACATCTTCCAGGGTTCAAGTTCTCCCGGGCATCGTACCTGCTCAGCCTGCTGCGGCCACAAATCTATGCCGAGCTGGAGCTGGAGGTATTGGCATCCACTCCTTACTGGTCTGCCAGCACCTCCCAGCATGCAGGCAGAGTGCCCCTGCTGCAAGACTATCTCTGCAGGGTGGGTTCTGTAGCGGGGACATCTCTCTCTTGTAGCGGTATGGTCTGAGGGTGCTCCCAAGAGACCCCTACTCCTTCACCCCACTGCTGGAGGACAGGAGCCCTCCTCGCTCCCTCCTGCTGGGGCACAACATGGCCCAGAATCAACAGCAGATTGCTCAATTCTCACAGAAGGATGCCCAGGTACTGCAGGGGCATGCACCTGGCGCAGCAAAGCCGTTGAGGTGCTGCCCTGTCCCTAAAGCAGCAAGGTTTCTCCTGGGTGTAATATCCATTGCACCTACCATGGTGCAGTCCTTGTTGTTCCCTCTCTGACCCCTTTCAGGCTTACCCTGAGTATGAGGCGTTCATGGGGTGCATGGTGTCAGCCCTTGACCCACTGCTGGATGCTCCTCCAGTGGATACTGCTGCCCTGGGGAAGGGGTCCCTGCTCCAGCAACTCAGGAACCTGCGAGCCCTGCGGCCCCTGCTGCAGGCAGGTACATCTGGGGTGCCGGGGAACCTCAATGGCAAGGGGTATTTGGCAGCACTTGGGTTTGGGCAATGCTGAGCCTCCTCAGGAGCTCCAACTGGGCTGGCAGGCTCTGGTAGGCTTGCCCACCTTGGTCCCCCTGCCTGTTTCCCAAACCCAGCTGGGCACCAGCAGCCAGCCCTGGTACAGCAATGCAGCTCTCACACCACCTCTCCCCCCCAGGGCTGGCGCTGGGGCAGCAGCTGCCCCGCTATTACGAGGTGCTCACAGCCCCCATCTCCAAGGTGTGTGCCAGCCACAGTGGTGTGGAGCCACCCACTACCACAAGTCCTGCCTGCAAGGGTGTTGTGGCAGCTCCACACCCCAAGCCTAGCATGCTTTCTTTCTCCTGGGCCAGATCCTGGATCAGTGGTTTGAGTCAGAGCCCCTGAAGGCAACTCTGGCTACAGACGCGGTGATTGGAGCCATGGCTAGCCCTCACACCCCCGGCAGTGGGTGAGGGTCCTCTCCCCTTGGGGCTCATGGCTGCACTGTCCCCCCATGCCATGCTCTGTGCTTGGCTCTGCTGCACCCCAGTACCCAATGCCCTGACTCCCTGCCTCTCCCTCCCACTGCCTGTTCCACCTTGCCAGGGTGCCTCAGGGGGTGGAACTGGGCAAGGGGCCATCCCTTCCATAGGCCTCTCCTGGGTGGCCCTCACCTATCCCTTTGCTGTTTGGACACCTCTAATCCTGGGTCAGGTTGAGTCCTGGCTGGTGGGTGCTCCCTGTAACTGAGTTGGCATCCTATGATCTGGCATGGTCCCATCTGTGGGGGCTGTGGCACCGTCCTCACTCTGCCCATGCCGGGGACAGACCCACCCCCTCATCCGGCAGCTAACCTGGGGTCCTGCTACCACAGGTACGTGCTGTTGCACCATGTCATGGGTGAGCTAGAGGGACGGCGGGGAGCCTGGGGCTACGTGGCAGGTGGGATGGGAGCCCTGTCCCAAGCCATTGCCTGTGCAGCAACAGCCCGGGGAGCCCACATTTTTGCTGAGAAGGTATGGGGTGCTGGGTAGAGGGGACTGCCTTGCCATCCCTGCAGGAAGCAGGGATGCTCTTGTTGAAGTCTTGTTCCCTCTGCCTGCCCAGGCAGTGTGCCATGTGCTGCTGGGCAGGGACGGGCGGGCGCAGGGTGTTGCGCTGCAGGATGGGACAGAGGTGAGGAGCAAACTGGTGCTGTCCAACGCCTCCCCCCAAATCACTTTCCTGGAACTCACTCCTCAGGTATGGGGTGCATGGGGTTGTTGGGGCTTGGCATGTTAGCATCGCCCCATCCACACTTGCCCCTCACAGTCAATCTCTGCGCTGGCATATCCCACCCTAGGAGCAGCTGCCAAAGGATTTTGTCCAGCGAATCCGGCAGGTTGACACACGCTCCCCCGTCACCAAGATCAATGGTAGGTACTTTCAAGGACACTTCTGCTGCTATTCCTGCTGGAGGAACACCAGTGCCAGGCTCAGCAAGAAGCTGTACCCTGCTTCTCCCATCTTCCCATCCCATGCCCAGTGGCAGTGGATCGGCTGCCCAGCTTCCTGGCTGCCCCCAATGCCCGTGACGGCCAGCCCCTGCCCCACCACCAGTGCTCCATACATCTCAACTGCGAGAACACCCACCTCCTGCATCAGGCATTCACCGAGGCTACCCACGGACACCCCTCCAACAGGTAGGAGCCTGCACTAGCACACCTCGGTGCCCCAGGGGAAGGGACAGGACAGTTACGGCAGGTGGTGCTGGGGAAAGAGGTGTGGGGTGGCTGGGTCCCTCTCTGCCTGCCCTGCTGGTGTACTGCTCTCCCAGGCCCATGATCGAGCTCTGCATCCCATCAGCGCTGGACCCAGGACTGGCCCCACAGGGCTGCCACGTTGTGTCCCTCTTCACCCAGTACACCCCATCCATGCTGGCAGATGGTCAGTCCTGGGATGAACAGGCCAGAAATGCATATGCAGACAGGGGTAGGTAATGCACACACACACCACGGTAACACCAGGAGCACTGGTCCCTGCCCATGGGCAGAGTTACCCTGGAACTGTGTATGGGCTTACTCCCACATCCCTCCAAGCTGCCCACGAGCTCCTTCATCTTTCTCTAGTGTTTGACTGCATTGAAGACTATGCCCCAGGGTTCAAGGCATCCGTCATTGGCAGGGACATCCTGACACCACCAGACCTGGAGAGGATCTTCGGGCTGCCCGGTGGGGTGGGTACCATGCGTGTCACCTCTGAGCATCACTACAGTGCCAGTGCTGGTGGGCACACAGTCCTGGGCCAGGCACAGCCAGCTCACGTAGAGCTCTGTTGGCAGAACATCTTCCACGGAGGGATGTCTCTGGACCAGCTGTACTTTGCCCGGCCAGCACCATCTTACTCTGGCTACCGATCCCCAATTCCTGGCTTGTACCTGTGCGGAAGTGGAGCCCACCCTGGTGAGCAGAGCTGGGAACCAGGACCCTTCTGGGGGGCTGCAGAAGGAAGGCAGGGGCATGTGGAAGAGGTGCACTACCACTCCCCATTTCTGCTTTCTTGCAGGAGGAGGAGTGATGGGAGCAGCAGGACGCAATGCTGCCCAGGTGGCCCTCAAGGACTTCAGGCACCTCTGATGACCGTGGTGACACTGACTTCACCAACACAGGCTTGTGGCAGCAGCAAGCCTTGGTGATCCCATGCAGACTCTTGTCCATCTCCAAGTTGCTTCCCAGGCACCTCAGGGCAGCATCCCCAGAGAGATGGAGGGTGCAGTCTGGCAGGGTCCCTTGTGCTCTCAGTTGCTACTATCATCTTGAACAGGTAGCTGCTCCCAGCCTACCACAACCCAGCTTTGCTGCAGTGACTCATGTGCACTGTGTGACCCTGGTAAGCCTCACTGAGCCCCTGCCCGTGACCATGGAAATAAACCCTGGCCCAGGCTCTGTCATGAGCACTCTTGCTGTGGTTTTTGAGCAATTCACGCAGCTCCCACCATGCCAACATGAGGGACTGCCCTGTTGCTGATGCTGAAGCCTCAGTAGAGGTGTCAGAGGGGATAGGCACGTTTCAGAGCAGTGAACAAGGACAAAAAGCTCCTCACCCTCTCCTCTGCTCATTGATGCAGGCTCAGATGCATGCAGGGCTTCCTGAGGTGCTTAGAACAAGCAGGCAGCCAGGGAGCTGCCAGGGAGCTGCCTGGGACCTGCTTTGGTACCTGGAAGCCCCAGCTGTCCTCTGTCCCCCAGCTCTTGGTGGGTATGTGTACAGCAGACACGTGCCCAGCAGCTCAGAAACCACAGGAGCCAGGAGTGGCTGCTACCCCTTTGTGCCCTATACTTCCTCCTGTTCCCGCTGGGTGCTGCCTGCACATGTTCTGGCTTTGTCCCTCCATCACCAGGGCAGATGCTCCGTGCTGGCCAGCCCTCAGCCACAGCAGGCCCGGGAGCCGCTGGCTGCAGATTACAGAGCTCACATCCTCTCCCTGCCCTCCTCTTCCTCCTCCGGACAATGCTCCCGATTCAGCCGCCCACCTCGCCTCCCGCCGGGCCCTAAATACGGTGCTGACAGGCTGAGCTGCTGCACCTGAGCTGGCTGAATCAATATTGACTGGCCAGGAATAGTCCCGCAGCCCTCTGAGAATAGCCCCGCACGCCCGCCCGCTGCCCACAGCTTCCCGCGCACGGGGCTGCCCTGCTGCCGGCTGCCTATTTTTAGCTGCTGCCGCTGCTGGCTGCCCGGGACTGCAGGTGCTGGCACCCAGTGAGCCCCGAGGGAGATGAGGGGCTCACTGGGTGACACCTCAAGGCAAAGAGGGATGCCTTCATCCTGCTACAGTCACAATGAGCAGCAGCACACGGAGCCCCCACTGCTGCGGGGTAAGGCTGGCAGGTCCCAGGTGTGGGAGAGCCCACCAGCCCCCTCCCTGCCCTCTTCTTTCTTTCCCCAGGAGCAGAGACAGAGCTGGGAGCCGTACCCAGCACCCGCCTGCCCTGGACCCCTGCCAGCATCTTCCAGGTGGGGAGGCCGGGGGGACTTCTGGCCTCACACTTCAGCCCCTGAGCTCCAAAACGTTGAGACACGAGTGAGTCACGGGCTTCAGTGCTGGCTGCAACCCTGCCCTTCCCCAGGGCTTTCCGTGGCCCCCATGCTGGGGCTGGCCAGGGACCCCTATCGCAGGAGTGGCTTCAGCACATGTCCTGAGCCCGGCCGAGGCAGAGGGCTGGGATGAGGGTCTCCTGCGAGGGGTCCTGGCGCCCCTGCACACCCAGAGGTGCTGGAGGCTCTTGCGAGACGTGGCGATGAGCTCACGGACTATTCCCGGCCGTGTTGATCCTGGCTCCTCCCGGCAGGATCCAGCTGCTTTGACTCCAAACAAACAGCCCGGTGGCCACCGGCACATTCCTGGCCGGTCCCTGGGCACAGCCAGGGCACAGGGTTTCCTGTTTATCCCCATCCCACGGCGGGGCACGGCGGGCGTGTGGGCAGCGGGGTGCCCCGGGGACTGGCGGCACCCCAAGCCGGAGGTTGCTCCCGGGTCGGGAGGGGGGCATCCCCAGTCTCCACGTACCACGGAGAAAGGCTATGCCTGAGGACCTTCACATTCAGGAATGGCCCAGGTGATGCCCCGAGCCCAGGGAGAACCGTACTCCGGACTTCCAAAGCCATCCCACAGCCTTCCGTGGTCTCTGTGCCCCCCAAGTCCTGGACCCATTGCAGCACCCCAGGGATCCCATGCCTGCATGCCCATTTGAGCCACTGCGTAGGTTGGAAGGGGCAGGGGTGTCCTTTTGGGGTGTCCCTAGCGTGACAGTTTGTCACTTCCACAAAGCCCATGCTCTGCCTGGCTGGGGGAGAGACCCATGGGTGGAGCATCCTTGACTGGGGGCATTGGGTTCAGGCCGGGAGTAGGTCCAGGCTCACGGCAGGTAGGGGTAGCCGGGAGTCCTCAGCCCCCCCAGGCTACGGGGACGACAGGATTTGGGGCGGGGACATGTTTGCCCCAGTGTGGCAATGTACGGCCGGGGGAGGGCAGGGAGTAGGGCTGGGCTCCAGGCCCGAGGCGGGAGGGCGGAGGCCCCCCCCCGGGGCGGCCCACCCCGCTGCGACATAAAAGCGGCTGCAGGCGGTGCTCGGCGGGAGTCAAGAGCCGCGGGAGTCAGCAGTCACGTCCCATCGCCATCGCCTGCTCCGTATTCCCGCACCGCCATCCCTTGCCAGGGTGAGTGCCGGGTATAGCCCCGGCGGGGGGAGATCTGGGCACCTGGAGGGGGTCAGCAACCCCACTAGTGCTCTGAGTGGGGATGCGGGGGAAGAGATGGGATGACGGAGACAGAGCTGTGTACAGGATGGGGAGGGGAGGGACCCTGGTGTTCGGTAGAGGATCGAAGCAGGGGATAAGGGGGGGCTCTGTGGGACCCCCACCAATGTCTCGAAGCACGGGGCAGGCAGGAAGCAACAAGAACACAGGGCAATGTTCGTGAGGCTGCCCATGGCTGTCAGTTCCTGGGAGGGCTGAGCCCCGAGGTGGGTTTTCTGTGAGTATGGCAGGATCCAGCACCTGCGTCCCCCACAGCACAGGGACAGAGATGTCATCACTGTGCAAGGGGGCATGATATGCCTACACCATTGCCCAGTTCCTGGGGCACAGGGAGCACCCCCACCGTGCCATGATCCCCAAGGGCTCATTGGCAGGCTGTCCTCAGGCATCCCACCTGCAGAACCGCGATGGTGATGCCAACTGGCACAAGTCCCATCCTTCTGGTGCTGCTGCTGTGCTGGGTGGCCCCCAGCGGGCAGGACGTGGCCCCAGTGCAGCTGCGGCTGGGGGGACCACGGGGGCCAGCGGGAGAGGGTCGGCTGGAGGTGCTGTACCAGGGACGCTGGGGCACCGTCTGCGACGACGGCTTCGACTTCCACGCGGCCACCGTCGCCTGCAGGCAGCTGGGTTACACCGCAGCCATCACCTGGACCCATAGTGCCACCTACGGCCAAGGGGAAGGTAAGGGGCAGGTGGGGAGTAGAAGGGTGGGGGGTCCTGGGGAGGGCAGTGGGGAGGGGGAGCCTGCCCTGGCGACTGTAGGTGCAGGCAGCCAGTGGGATGCGCTATGGTGCCCATGGTGCTGTGTTCCCCAGGCCCCATCTGGCTGGACAACGTGCGGTGTGGGGGCAATGAAGGCTCCCTGGCAGAGTGTGTCCACAATGGCTGGGGCATCAGTGACTGCCACCATGGCGAGGATGCTGGTGTGGTGTGCTCGGGACAGCGACTGCCTGGCAGCTCCCCCCAGGCCACCTCTGGTCACCTGGGAGAGGTAAGTGGGGGGTCATGGAGTTCCCCTGTTCCCAGCAGAGTACACCGGGGGGACTGCAGCTGGTCCCTCTAACCCTTTCCCTTGTCCCCATCCTGAACACTCTGCCCTCGATGCTGGAGTCCCATGCCCACCCCTGTGCCCACTGCGGCAGGTACCGGGGCTGAGCCTGGAGGAGGTGCGGCTCAAGCCCATCCTGGCACGAGCCAAGCTGAGCATGCCAGTAACGGAGGGTGCTGTGGAGGTGAAGCACAACGGGCACTGGAGGCAGGTGTGCGATGCCAACTGGACCAGGAACAACAGCCGCGTGGTGTGCGGAATGCTGGGCTTCCCCCGCGAGAAGCAGATCAACACCAGCTTCTACCGGTAGGGATGTGGGAAACATGCATTGCACCAGCGCATGTGGGGCATGTGCCCGGCTGGGCACACTGTGGGGACAAGAGACTGGAGGGGGTGTCAGGGAAGGGCTAAACATATGGGTTGGTGGGCAATGTGCCTGGCCATGCCTAGGTCCCCTTCTTGTAGCCTTGAAAAGGGGCAGAGCTGGGCTCAGCAGCATCCAGAGGACTGTGGGGATGGTCACCAGCTATGGCTGTCAAAGCGTGGGAGAAAGGAGAGGAAAGGCAAGCATCTCTCAATCCCTCCACCCCTGTCTCAGACTGGGACTATAAATACAGCCCATAATGAGCCCCTACCAATGCCAGGAGTCACACAGTCCTGCTGGGACACATGGTACAGCCAGGCTTGGCATGGTAATTACCAGTGTGAGACAACCTGACATGCCGTGGGAAGACCCCTCGGCTCCAGCTCCTGCTGGGGAGGGCAGGAGTGATGGGGTGGGGGGTTTCAGTTATGCACTGTCAACATGACACCCCCCCAACCTTCTGGCTCTGTGCACCCACAGAAAGCTCTGGAATAGGAAGCTGAAGGACTCCAACTCCAGGTAAGGCTCAGCCCTGGGCAAGGCAGGCAGGGCACCTTGGGTGGGCACCCAGTATGGATGTTGGGTGGGGATGAGTCTCTGGCATCCAAGTTAACACTGGCTCTGCTCCTCTCCCTCGCCAGCCTGAAGACTCTCATCCAGAAGAACAGCTTCTGGGTCCATAGAGTGCAGTGTCAGGGCTCAGAGCCCCACCTGGCCCGCTGCCCTATACATGTGGCCCCACCAGCCCCCCGCCAGCACGCCTGCCCCCATGGCATGCATGCCATTGTCAGCTGTCTCCCTGGCCCTGCCTTCCAGAAGGGCACAGGCAAGGGCAAGAGCAAGAGCAAGAGCAAGGCCTCCCCAGGAAAGGTGAGCCCTGGCAGAGCCCCACACCTCATCCCACTGATGGAGGGTCCCAGAGCTGAGCAGCACACCCAGCCACTCCATTTGCACTTGTGCAGGTGGGTGGCCGTGTCCTGGGGGTGCTGACCAGCTGCTCCCCATGCCCAGGTGCTCCCGGTGCGGCTGCGAGCAGGCACCCATCCTGGCGAGGGCCGGGTGGAGGTGCTACGCCACGGGGAGTGGGGCACCGTGTGTGACAAGCAGTGGGACCTCACTGCAGCCAGTGTGGTGTGCCGGCAGCTGGGCTACGGGACAGCGAAGCAGGCCCTGGTGGGAGCCCAGATGGGACAAGGTGAGGCAAGTGGCACAGCAGGGACTTGGGGCACTAGTGGACTTGGAGGGGTATGATGGGGGATGCCCATAGGGATATAGGGAATGCCCAGACCAGGGGAAGGAGGGTGGGGGTCCCGCTCCAGGATGGTCATGGAGCAGCGAGCACTGACCCTTCCTCTGCTGTAGGTCTGGGGCCCATCCATATGAGCAATGTACAATGCACTGGCCATGAGCGCACCCTGGGTGAGTGCCGCTTCCAGGATGCTGAGCGGAGCGGGTGTCAGCATGAGGCTGATGCTGCTGTTCGCTGCCACATGCCCCACATGGATTTCAAGAGCCAGGTGAGCCCCTGTCTCTTCCCCAGAGCCAAAGCTCCACTGCACAACCCCTGCTTTCCAAGTTCTGTGCCTGGTGTGGATGCTCAGAGCAGCCCAGGGGTGACCCAGGGGATGGGGGGCCACAGAGCAACACCCCAGTGGGGTTCTGCAGGATGAGCTGGTGGCAAAGTGGGGAGAAAAGGAGGAAGAAGATGAGGGAGATGTTCAGCTGGAGATGTTAGGCTGCCTATCCCATTGCAGTGCTGAGAGGTGGGGCTGGAGTCTGCACCACATTCCAGCTCAGCCCCTCTCTGCTGGCAGGTACGTCTGGCCGGGGGTCGCAACCCTGAGGAAGGTGTGGTGGAGGTGCTGGTGCCGGTGCAGGGACGGCTGCAGTGGGGTGCAGTGTGCGGTGCACAGTGGGGGCTGAACGAGGCCATGGTGGTCTGCAGGCAGCTGGGGCTGGGCTTTGCCAGCCATGCCCTCCAGGTGAGTGGGTTGTCATCCTGGGGCCAGGACTGCCAGGGGTGCTGCAGGATGGGTAGTGTGGTCATAGGGTGGTTGGGCCTCTGGAATGGGACAGCTCGGGTGAAAAGCCCTGGTGGGAGGTTTAGGGCAGGGAGGGAGGCAGGTGGGTTCTGGCAGGGAGTGGGAGGACTGGTCCAAGCACTGTTCTCTTCCTCTGCTCAGGAGACGTGGTACTGGGCAGGCAGCCCCGATGCCACCCGGGTTGTGATGAGCGGGGTGCACTGTGCCGGCACCGAGCTGGCCCTCCAGCAGTGCCAGCGCCATGGCCCTGTCCACTGCCCCAGTGGTGGGGGACGCTTCTCAGCAGGAGTCACCTGCACTGCCCGTGAGTAGCAGGAGCCCATGGGGTACTGCTGGGAGGAGCACCCCCATTCTCCTAGAGAGTAGGGGGAGCTATACAGGGTGGGGATCATCTTCTCAATCCCTGCTGATCCCCTTCATACCAGATGCCCCTGACCTGGTGATGAATGCCCAGCTGGTGCAGGAGACAGCCTACCTGGAGGATCGACCCCTGGGGCTGCTGTATTGTGCCCATGAGGAGCGCTGCCTCTCCCGCTCTGCCGACCAAATGCAGTGGCCCTATGGCCACCGCCGCCTCCTCCGCTTCTCCTCCCAGATCCACAATCTGGGAAGAGCTGATTTCCGACCCAGGATGGGGCGGCACGCCTGGACCTGGCACCAGTGTCACCGGTGAGTAGCCCATGGGCAGAGGCTGGCAAGGACCTGCACCCTTCCAGGGCCAGGCAGGGCATGGTCCCGAGAGACTGTCTCACCCGGGATAGTTAACAGTGTCCACGTCAACACTGTCATTATGGCTTTATTTGGCTTCAAGGTTGTAATTTGCTGAGTCCCTGGGTGCTGCCTGCTCCCGGCAGGGCAGCTGGGCCGCCCACATGCTCCCTGGCCAGGCACCAGCCCTGTACTCAGTCCTTGTCCCACAGGCACTTCCACAGCATCGAGGTCTTTACTCATTATGACCTGCTAACTCTCAACGGTTCCAAGGTGGCGGAGGGGCACAAGGCCAGCTTTTGCCTGGAGGACACCAACTGCCCCGAGGGTAGGTGCTGTCTGCAGAGCTGACAGCAGCCCCTCATTCTGCTGCTTGAAGAGGGCTCTGTCTGTGCCCTCCCTCACCTCCTATCATCCTGCAGGGCTGCAGCGACGCTTCGCCTGTGCCAACTTTGGGGAGCAGGGGGTGAGTGTGGGGTGCTGGGACACCTACCGCCATGATATCGACTGCCAGTGGATTGACATCACCGATGTGCCACCGGGCAGCTACACCTTCCAGGTATGGGAATGGAGGGTCAGGGGGGGCACCAAGCCACTGGAGCTCAGGGCTGGGGACTGCCCTACCTGAGTGCCACCAGCACCCCGTCACCCTGCACATCGGAGTGCAGCTCTGCACCCTTCTGTGAATGTGCCACAGCCCTGCCTGGCCAGGGCATGGCAGAGGTGCCCCCAGCCCTGCCTCTTGCCCTCTCAGGTGGTTGTGAACCCCAAGCACGAAGTGGCTGAATCAGACTTCTCCAACAACGTGATGCGGTGCCAGTGCAAGTATGACGGGCAGCGTGTCTGGATGCACAGCTGCCACACGAGTAAGGAGAAAGAGGAGCATAGAGGGCATGACAGGCAGGGTGGGAGAAGTGACAGGGCTGGGGGTGCCGCAGGTTCCTTGTTCCTCCCCTATCACCATCCATGTCGCTTTCTCCAGGTGATGCCTATGGTGCTGATGTGGTGAGCGACCTGGAGAGACGGGAACGCCTGGCCAGCAACCTCGTGTGACCCCTTGGCATCGGCATGGTCCCAGCAGTGCTGTGGGACAGTCCAACTCCCACGCCCCAGCAGCACCGGACTGAGCTCAGGGACTTGCAGACTTTTGTATTTATTGATGCTGCTGCAGAGGATGGAGATGAGCACTGGGGCCGGTGGGGAGTGCCATGGGGTGTCCAGTCCCATGCTGCCAGCGGGACTTGCAAGAGTGGCCCTGGTACCGCAGCAGCTCTCACCTCCATGGCTTCAGTGCCCCCAGGACAACTACCTCAGCCTGCCTGCCCAACCTTCCTTGCTCCAGCAGACTCAGGACAGTCACTGGCCACCCGTACACCAGTCCTGTCCTCAATAAAGGTGCTGTGAGATGGGAGAGGGTGTACTACTTTATCAACCCCATCATTTCCTGCTCTCTCCACTGCGCTCTTTCCCGTGAGGACCATGGAGGCAGTCCCCAGCTGAGAACAACTCTGGTCTCTACAATGGGTCCCTAGCCAGGCAGTATCTCCCCTGTGCCATCCAGGGCCACCAGCCCCTGGCTGTCTGCATGTGGTTGGCATCAAGCAGCTCTGGCTTACCACCAGCGGTCCCCGCCATCCAGGGCACCCTGGCCCTGAACTGGCTGTAACCCTGTGCATGCAAAGGACCCCAGCCAGCTCTGTGGCAGCACGGGCCAGAAGCCCGCCCACCAGCCGCAGTATCTGCAGCCACCATGGGCTTTCCCAGACTGTCCTGGCAGCTTCCCAGCAATGGGAGCAGTGGTGAGGCCACTCTGCCTCCCAAAGCTGTTGTTCCTGGGCACAGGGTGGGAAAAGGGCACATCATGCCCTTTCTTTCTGTGTTTCTTTCCCATGTGGTTTCTCTCCTTTTTTTTTTTTTTTTTTATAATAGCAGAAAAGAGGGAATGTCACCAGCCCACTCTGTACTACCTGTTCCCCAGCGAGCCAGCCACTGGGTAATGCCACCCCTCTGCTTGCACACCTCTGCCCATCCCCAACTCATTGGCAGGCACCAGCCCAGGGTGGGGGGCTATCAGCACCCACCTTGGCCCAGGACAGGCCAGGCTACCCCCACACGTGATGGTCCCTGCACGTGGAGGAGCTGCTGGGGACAGCAGTGACGCACTGGGGTGGCCTGAGGCCAGAGACCGTGGCAAGGCACGTGCCGGCGAGAGGCTCACTCGGCCGGGGTCAGGGTTTGAGGGATGCCGGATGGCGGGGAGGATGTTTTCCACATGAGAGCAGCTTTGCGCCCTGAAATTTCCACTGGCCAAGCCACAAGCATCCGGGAACGGCGGCTGAGATGGCTCCCAGCTGGCAGCTCTGCTGGACGGTGCAGGGGCAGGCAGCCACCGCCACGGGGTTGTGACCAGCTCCACTGCTGCCAAGCTGGGGGACAGCCAGGGGACACGGGGCAGCCACATGAGCCCTTCAGCAACCAAAAACATGCAAACTGCTGGCAGGGGTGTCAGAAAAGCATCATCCCCATCCTCACCTCCTGTGAAGGCCCCCAAAGTCGTGCCCCTGAGAGTGTGCAGCGCTACAGGGCAGGAGTGCTGGGGCACACAGGGCTGTTTTTCAGATGCTGAGAGACGATGCAAAGCAGAGGAGCCAAAGGCACGTCCCAGCCACTGGCCTCCACCCCAGGGTGGGGCAGGAAGACCCCAGCCCACCATGGCTGGCAGAGTGGCCACATCACAGCCCCGTGCGGGGCCAGGAACGTGGCCCTGCCCGTGTTCTGACAAGGGCCCTGCTGTTCGGGGCCACAGCTGCTCCGCGGAAGTAAACAGAGTCCCTGCCAGCACATTCCTGCCTGCCGCCCTGCCCGATCCCTCCTGCCTGCACATCCCCCCTCCCCACTGGGGACACCCCCCACCCGGGAGGGGTGGACATCCCCAGGCACCCCTAGCATGCATACCCTTCCCCGGTACGAAGGAAACAGGAGTCACAACCCAACCAAGCAAATAAAATATATGGTATTTATTAGCAAAATAAAGGAGAGAAACTCTCATTCATAAGGCCCTGCCAGGTGGCCAGGGCTACAGCTCCCCTGCTCTCTGATGAGTTCCCTGCATCCCCCTGCTGTTCCCACTGCAGCTGGCAGGCCCGGGGATCCTGCCCGGGGTAGGGTGGGCAGCGATATCTGATGGCAACAGCATTCCCACAGCAACAATCCCGCACGCGTCCCACTCAGCCCTTTCGGTGGAGCTGCCCGGTGCTTTTGGATGTGGTGCAGGATCTGTCCCAGCTCTGAGATGCAGAGTGCCCTGCCTGCCTACAGAGGGGCCCAGGCACCTCAGGGAGGTTTCCAGTGGGCCTGAAAGTGCAGCCTCCTGGCTCAGTCCCGGCCCTCCCAGGCATCCTCCCGCTGCTTGTTCTCCAGGCGCTTCCTCTCTGCAAAGACAAAAGGATTAACTCCATGTCCCCATCACCCCACAGCTACACACTTCCTCGTGGAGGTGGCTGGAGTCCACCATGGTGCACTCCCTCCCACTCAGCACCCTGTGAGAAGGGGCATCCACAAGGAGGGCCCCCCCACACTGCAGCCCCTCCAGGCATTCAAAACTCACCTTGAGCTTCTTGCAGCTTCCTCCGCTCTGCATCTCGCTGGGCTGGAGTCTGGTTGCTGCGTACCCCCAGGGCACCGATCACCAGCCGCCTGGCCAGGACAGCTGATGTTTCAGGGCGCTCCTTGGCTGGCTGCAGGTACTCTGTGAAAGTGAAGATTGGGGACATCAGTGGGGCATCCTGGAAGGGACAGAGCAACTGACGTGGCCGCAGAGCTGTGCTGGCTGCCCTGTCCCTCCCCAGTTATTAGGATGATGTTGCAGAACAAGCATGATGGCACAAGCTGGCCCAGGGCACCATCACTCACCAGCAAATGCCCTGGCTTTGGCTTTAGAGGCGCGGGTGCCCTGGGAGAGTGGACGTGTCTTCACCATCAGGTGCTTGGTGCTGAGGGCATCACGTGCTGCAGGGAGAGAGCAGCAAGTTCAGGTACAGCATCAGTCCAATGCCCAGGATCCGGCTGCAGGAGAGGGATGCCTCCCCTCTGCCCATACCCAAACCAGGAGCAGTACCTGTTATGGGGCTGGAGAAGATGCCCAGGGCGTGTGTATCGTCCACCCATTTAATATCAAAGCCCTTTTTCCTGCCAAAGAGAGGGAAGGTTAGCAAGGCACTGGCACCTGGTGAGCGTGGGTCTGGAGCAGAGAACCTCAGCACCAGGGACACAGCATTTCTGGCAGACTCACTGATAGCTGCAGAAGACACGCATTAGGTCCTCAGTGCGGAAATCCGAGGGGAAATCGTAGATCTCAATGACGTGGGGCAGCTCATCATCGCTGATGTCTGGAGCAGCGGGTTCAGCCCTGTAGTAGTCGAAGCGGGGTGACTGCACGTTCTCCTGGTGCTTCTCACCCCCTGAGAGCTGCAGTGGTAGGAAAGGTACAGCACTGAGCAACCCACGCCCACCTACCCCACAGCAGTTCCCAATCCATGGCAAGCACTCCCCAGAAAGTGGCCCAGCCCCCTGAACCCCATCCCAGCATTGCAGATGGATTCATGGCATTGAGAACTAGGAGTTATTGACTAGCATTCTCACGCCATGCACTTGCTTTTCCCATTACCAGCATCCCTTCACTTGCCACATTCTGCAGCCCTGCCAGGGGCACAGTAGGAATGGCAGGGGTGAAACAGTGCATGCACTTCCAAGCACACCCCTCCTTCCACAGTGATGTGATGACCTGAAATAGTTCTAGGGAAGAACAAGGAGCAGGACAGCAATGCCAGGAGGAAAGACTGATATCTGCCTGCCACATGGAAGCACCAGGCTCAGCATGCCCTGGCTGCATGGAGAGGCCCATCAGCACCCCAGATGCCAAGATGAAAAGCCAGCACTCCCCTGAAGAGCAAGTTCTGGTGGTTAATCACCTGTGCAGCTAAAAATTTACCCTTATTTCTCATTTGAATTTGTCTGACTTCACTTTCTACCTGGCAGTTCTTGTTCTGCCTCTCTACCGGATTAAAGAACCCTCAGTTCCTGGTCCCTTCCCTGTGACAGCACTTACTAATGTTATCAAGTCCCTTCTAAGTCTTCTTCTTGCTAAGCTAAATGGGTTGTGTGCCTGTAGCATCTCACATTGGGGCACTTTCTCCAGCCCTAAAAGATGATGGCTGTAGCACTTTTCTACCTCGCCCATTTTTCATCCTTCATTTTAAAACATGAGCAGCAGCCTCCCACTGCCACAATACAGGGATGCAGCCAGCCCCTATTTCCCTCTGTCTCACAGCACCAGTGCCGGTAGGTCACCCTGCATCATCTCCCGCCCAGTGGGCCATCCTGCATTGCTTGCTGCACCCTGCAGCTGAGACACCAGACAGGTGCCATCCAAAGCTGCTGACAGCTCCCCAGTTCCCCCTGGAGCGTGGGGCTGGCATGGTGCCAGGAAACAGGTACATAACTCAGCCAGGTTCCCAGCCTGATCCCCTGAGCGATCATAGTGGAGCACACCACGGCTGCAAGGTTAGAGTCCATAAATCCCAGCCAGCTCAGTCGATAAAAAGTGCTCATTCTGACAATTTTATGGGAAAGATGGATTCATGGCAGGTGAAGGAGTGCTGCCAGGACGGCTGGATGCTTGCAGAGGGTAGAGTTGAGTTATGGAGCTCACGGGACAGGCCAGCCCTGCCGGCAGAGCCACCTGCCCCAGCATCACCCCCGTGTTGGGCAGCACACTCAGCAGGCACCCTGTGCCTGCTCGAGGTAGGCGAGGGAGCCATTCCCTGGCAGGATGAAGCCCTACAGTGCCGCTTGAGGGAGCAGAGCACTCGGGTAGCGCCAGGCACCGGGAAGATGATTAGAGAGCAGGAGCGCAAAGTGCCGGAGCAGTCCTTGACCTTCACAAATCACCAAGTGTGGCGGGGCAGCAAGGACAGGAGCCGTCTGGCAGCAGGGCTCAACCACGTGGCAGGCAAGGCTCAACAGGTCCCCTGGCACCGCCAGCCCCAGCATGCAGCACGCCTGCAGCTCCCCAGCCATGGGAGTGGGAACCAGGGTACAGACCATGGTCCTGGCAGGCATCCTGGAAAGGTTCACTGATGGATGGACAGACAGATGACAGGGAAAATGAAGCCTGTCCATCACATCTCACTACTCTCTAAAGATGCACCCTTGCCAGAACACGTTAGGGGGTTGGTGGCTGCTCCTTTACACCACAGTCCCTGGCACACATGCACCGCAGCCCCCACCATGCCGCACTGGCTGATGTCGAGTCCACTGAGCCTGCAAGGAAATGGTCGCAGTACTTAATTACTCTCTGTGTTGAAACTGATTTCTGCTCTGAATTTGTC